GTCAGGAGTAAGGAGCTAAATAAAATTCTCTCTGGAAATCCAGCGACATGCTGGATGATTATAGATCCCTGGAGTCTCCCCTGTGCGGCCAACGAGCGCATGCAGTCCCACTACGGTGGTTCGGCTGTGACGGTGATACCTCGACGCCTGTGGGCTTTTTGGCCCGGTGGGATGCATATGACTGGAGGTCTTGGCCTGACAGTCACAGCAGCCCACACAGGCTGACGGCGCCGCCACCAAGGTCGGGGCCTTTTCCCGCCATTTCCTGCACGTCCTGAGGTGAGGCTTCCCCTTCGAGCTGCTAGAGTCGGCCAGTGATACTATGGGAGTTCACTTGGTATGGTATGTATGGACCTGTGCTGGGGACGTGCGGGTGGACCCTACCTGCTGGATGGCTCTCTGACTGACAGTCCCTTGTGTGGGCAACGTGCTGTGAGGGTCCGGGTCCTGTGGCGGGGGGCCACAGCTTAGTATTACACAGGGCCCCTGTCTGTCTCTCTCGCCCCTTCCCCATACCTCATGGGTGCAGTGTGGGTTGTCAGTTGGTGTTGGCTGTCTGCTGGGCCCTCTGTGGCGTTTCCTCTACATGCGGGGGCTCTGTGAGGGTGTCTGGGGATGTCTGAGGTAAAATTCGGCCTCATTTTCGTTGAGGGCAGGCACCCTATTCAGTCGCTGTCACTTTCTGTGGTGAGCTCTGGTACATGGCCTAGTTCGGACGGGCAAAAGGGGCGTTATATTCCTCAGCGGGGCTGTCTGCAGACCAGGCGTGTGCAGCTCTCCTCCGAATCGCTCTGCTGTGGTGTTTCAGACGCGGGGGTCGTAAGTACTGCTGGGATCCCTCTCTGCTTGTGACAGTCTCCTGAGGCAGTGGGGAGGTGTGAGCGGGGTTTCATGGAACGCACCGCCCACGTTACCTTGCGAGGGCTGCGGGCTGCTTTCTGCTGATTCCTCTCATTCCCCCCTTTTTGTGCGTCCTTTACGCCGGCCCCTCCCTCCCAGGCACTCTTGCCCCCCTCGAGGTCCTTGGTGGGTCTGGGCAGTACCGTGGGTACTGTGTTGTCCCTTGAAGTTTTTTCTTCTGCCATGGATGGCTTTGTGACGCGCATTGAACGTGCACTGACACAGAAGCCCCCTAAGAAACATACATCCCCTTTTTCGATGATTTCATTTATAAAGAGTGGAAGCCACCTGCAACGTCATTCGCAGTTCCGAAATGTTTCTCTTTTCGCTATCCTTATGAGGAGGCCTTTTTGGCTAAATGGACATCTCCCCCTGCGGTAGAACCTCCGGTTTCTCGCCTGAACAAGGCTACGGTTATCCCGGTGGAGGACTCCCCGTCCTTTCGGGACCCCACCAATAGGACAGCAGAGGCGGTCTTGCGGACTATGTACTCTGTCTCGGGGGTCCTGATGCGCCCGGTTCTGGCTTCTGCCTTGGTCTCCCAGACTCTGACAGTATGGGCAAAGAGGTTGCATCAGGGGCTTGCGGAGGTAAATGTTTCTCCCGCTTATGTGGAATTGGCGAACAATTGGTGCAGGGCCTTCCGTATGTCTGCAACTCTGCCCTGGAAGCGGCACCCCTGGTGGCGACACTGTCGATGTCGGTGGTTATGCTTCACCGGTTTCTTTGGCTCAAATGCTGGTCCGCTGACCAGGCTTCCAAGAAAGCTCTGACGGAGCTTCCCTTTACTGGGGACCGTTTATCTGTACCTCCTTAGATGAGATTATTAAGGATTTGACGAGGGGTAAGAGTGCCTTCTTACCTCAGACGCAGAAGAAGGAACAGCGGCGGAAGCCTGGTCCCTTCTTTTCTGCTCACAAATGGCTTTTTCGGCCAACCTCCAAACCTCCTCCCTCCCAGACTGCCAAGCGTCCCTGGCAACCTAAGTCTGCCAAGCCCGCCGGCAAGCCCTCGTCTGCATGTAGGTCTGGCCCCAGCTCCGGGTCCCAGGGTGGGGGGGCGCCTTCGGCCTTTTGCGGATTTTTGGGTGGCTCACGTCTCCGACACATGGGTGCGGGGCCTGGTTTTCTTTGGGTTGCCAGATCGAATTTCTGTCCCGTCCCGGGAACAGGTTTTTCCCGTCCAACACACGACTTTGCCCTCCACAATTGGCAGATATTTACCGCACAGTGGCGGACCTCTTGTTCCAGGGGGTGATTGTGCCGGTTCCGTTCTCGGAAAGGTTCGGGGCATTTTCTTCCGACCTGTTTACCGTGCCCAAGAAAGAAGGGGTTTGAGGCCCATCCAGGGCCTCAAACGTTTTGAACACTTTTGTGCGGGTCCGTCGGTTTCGGGTGGAATCTATCAGGTCCGTAGTGGCGTATCTCCGTCAGGGGGATCTGCTGGCCTCCGTCGACATCAAAGATTTCTACCTTCATGTGCCCATTTGTGTCTCATCAGCGATATCTTCGTTTCGCGGTGGGGGAAGAGCACTTCCAGTTTGTGGCGCTGTCTTTCGGCCTGGTGTCGGCCCCGCGGGTGTTCAACAAGGTGTTGCTTTGCCGGGGGATCTCGATCATGGGGTATCTGGACGATCTTCTTCTGCGGGCAGTGTCGCACTCTACTCATGTGACTGCTCTGGAGGTCACTGCGGTCCTTTGGGAAGTTCGGATGGATCCTGAACTTCCAGGAGTCTTGTCTGGTGCCTTCCCTGCGACTGGAGTGCCTGGGCCAGGACTCTTCAGAGGAACATCGTGTTACAGTGGGATGTTTCCCTCTTGTCCCCGCACAGGGGGATCGATAAATGTATCGGAACTTCGGGCGAATCGTCTATCTCTCCTTCATTGGACGACCCGCCTTCGGGGTCTGTCGGTTCGGATCCAGCCGAGAGGTGTCCGGGATCCTCTCCTGGGCGGAGAGTCGGGTTCTGGCCCTCTCGGCAGTTCACATTCCGGGGGTGGACAATTGGTGCCTCAGTCGCCGGACCCGGGAGTATGGTCCCTACACCAGGAAATTTTTCATCAGCTTTGTCTTCGCTTTGTGTCAACGGATGTGGACCTTCTGGCGTCTCGACTCAACCGGAAGGTAGAGAGATCGTAGCCCGGGCTCTGGATCCCTGGGCGGAGGCGGATGCCCTGATGGCTCCCTGGAAACCTTACGGTCTGATTTATGACTTTCCTCCACTCTACCTGTTGCCTCGGCTTCTACGACGGATCATGGCTGAAGACGTCACCGTCATCCTCGTGGCCCCAGATTGGCCTCGGAGAGCGTGGTACACGGACGTGGTTCAGCTGGTGGTGGACGCCGTGGCGGCTGCCTCTGCGTCCGGATCTTCTGTCCCAGGGACCTGTGTTCCATCCTTCTTTACAGTCGCTGGCTTTGATGGCGTGGCTGTTGACAGCCAGGTCCTAAGGGACCGGGGGTTGTCCGATGTGGTTATTTCCACGATATACCATCGCACGTGGAGGGCCTATTTTTCCTGGTGTGAGGGTAAGGCTCTGTCTCCACGTTTGTTCTCGATCACGAGAATTTTTGCATTTTTGCGCGGGGGGGGGGGTGGTTCATGGGTTGGTTTGAGCACAGTGGAGGGCCACATTTCTGCATTGACTGTGCTTTTCCAGCAGCCCTTGGCATCTAATACCTTAGTTCGCACCTTTGTTCAGGCGGTTACGCGTGTTGCTCCTCCTGTCCACTCGCCTTTGGCGCCGTGGGATCTGAATTTGGTGCTTTCGGTGTTGCAGGAATCTCCCTTTTGAGCCTCTGTTTTGATGTGGTTCGCGCTCTTCGTGTTTATCTGGTAGCTACGGCTTCTTTCCGTGAGTCAGATTCATTGTTCGTGTTCACGGAGGGCACCTGTACGGGCCAGGCCGTGTTGGCGGCTACCATTTCTCGGTGGGTTCGTCATGATGTTGTTCAGGCGTACACCGTTAACGGGCGTGAGCCTCCCTTTCCTGTCACTGCCCATTCTACTAGGGCTGTTGGGGCATCTTGGGCCTTCCGCCATGGTGGCTCGGTTTCTCAGGTTTGTAAGGACACTACTTTTGAGGGGTCTTTTGGGAATTTTGGTTGTTTTGCCCATCCCTCTGTGTGTTACGGCTTGATGACGTCCCTACAGTACAGGATCTACAATCTGTTGTGTCCTTCAATGAATGGAAGAGAAAATAGGATTTTTGTACTCACCGTAAAATCCTTTTCTGTCTGTTCATTGAAGGACACAGGTCCCGCCCTCTATATTGGGTGTGTACTCCTAACTGCTTGTTACTTACTGGAGACTTGTCAGAAGGTGGGGGGTTGGGCCACCAGCAGGGGCCGCCCCTAGGCTGTCTTTGTCTTTTGTTGTGTGCCTAGCGTCCTTCTCCTGCAGGTGGCGATATACCCTGTAATACGATCTGTTGCCCTGTGTCTTTCAATGAACGGAGAGAAAAGGATTTTACGGTGAGTACAAAAATCCTATTTTTTCAAACTGAAATAAATCTGTTGCCAAGCTATTTGTAAAAGAAAAGGAAAAAAATGATTGATGCTCTGCAATTCTATCCATAGTCAGCTGTGCAGATCGTGGCATGTGAGTAAGCCAATAATCAGAGCTCAGTTGGCCGCCATATTGGGTTGAGGTGTTTTTTTGCGGTTGCAGTCCCTGTTCCAGCGAATTATTTGAAAGATGTATTCATGGTTAAACATATAAAAGTTTTGAGAGACTCAAAATCACACTGCTGACTTTCTGTCTAGTTATCCCCAAGGCAAAAACAACCAGTTGTCAGTTTGATGCCAAGTTGCTCCCCAACATGGTAGACATGTCTGGTGGCTATGGTTTCATTTATGAAACAGTCAAATGTTTAAATTGTAACTTGTATCAACTGATACAATGTTTATGCTCCTTCATCAGGACTGCAAATATGAAAAAAAAACTTGTCACTAATTTTCATTAGCATACCACTGCAAATCTCCAGTTATGTGGCACTATGCAAAAACCTTCCTTATACAAACATTGTTTATTCTATTGTGTTGAGGCAGCTTTGTAATTAAACTGGCTTACCTGGTTGTAAAATTTTTTTCTTATCCAGGTTATTTGGAGATGGTGGAAAATCTCCCTCCGAAGTGAATTTCGGGAAACAAAACCTGGAGAACTAAAAGAGTCTCACCAGGACTTTGTGGATGATTCAACCCTGCAAGGTAATAGTTGCCAGAAAATAAAAAAGTTTGTATAGCATGGACGAAATAGCAATGGTTTGCTGTAGGGATGCACCGATACCAAGACTAGTATCGGTATCTGTGCCGATGCTGAGTATTTGGGCGAGTACTCGTACTTGCCCAAATGCTCCCGATGTCTATGCAGATATTGGGACGAGGAAGTATGGAGCAGGCTTCCCGGGCAATCAGAAAGCCGGGTGATGTGTAATGACTCGCCGGCCAGCTTCTTGCTTGGCCAGTCAGGAAGCCAGGTGACCTGTACCACGCTGCCCAGCTTCCTGATTGGTCAGGAAGCTTGCCAATCAGGAAGCCATTTGGCGAGTCATTATCTGGCTACCTGATTGGCCAGAAAGCTGTCTCCACGCTTCCTTGTCACCTGGTGATGAGGGAGCATGGAGATGGCTTCCTGGCTAACTGGAAAGCTGGGTGGCGAGTCGTTACATGCCGCCTGGCTTCCTTAATGGGACTTCCGGTATTCGATTGGCAAGTACCGAAAAAGAAATATCGGTACTCATACTTGATACGGAACAAACAGTATTGATGCATCCCTAGTGTGTGGTGTTAAGTCGTATATTAGTATGTCTAAAGGTGGTCATACAAGTTAAGGTATTTTTATGTAATAAATCAGGAATACGCAGTTCTTATCGCCCAGCACCCGGGACATGCAGTTCTGGGCGCTAGACATATGGTTTTTGTTTTCTACATTTAGCCCCCACTGTGGGCAAGCAGGGCTAAATGTAGAGCAGGGGAGTTACTGCTTGTTTTGTATAAGTGATGTGAGCAGCTGTACAGCCCAACCCCACACAATAATGTCTCCGCACAGGGCGATCTGGCATTCGTGCTGCAAGAATCTACAGATTCTTATCCCAGGTGTCCCTATTCAGTTGCAGTCGGCTGTACAGGGTGCCACATCTGTTATCGGCAGTCCACATGTAATCGTATATTATATGATTATATGTGGTTTGGAATAGATGACTGTCAATGGATGCAGGATAGATGCACCTGTGATTCCTGCTGCAGGAATTCCAGAGGGTCCCATGTGACTGAAGCCTAACTGGGAGAGTGAGAAATGGGATATTGGATAGGTAAATCATATAACAAATTTAATTCAAGATAATATAGAAAGGATCAGATTGTTACATTTTGAATCATCAGGTCCCCGTGTGTTGCGTCCATCCCTAGATCTTTTAAAAGATTCTTTTGATTGGTTTGCATAGAACACAGCACATGACAGTTCTTTGCACTACATAATTGTACAAGTCCCAAAGACTCTGCTGTACCTTCTTCCAGAGCAGCGCTTGCAGGAGGTTGCTAAGGAACACAAGTGAATGGCAGTGAAACTCCTTAATTTACAGGTTTCATGGGGATACCAGGAAATCAGACCAGGGAATTGTCCTCTTTCATTGTTCATGTCATATGTTTCTTTGCCTCAATTTGATCCTGTGTGGGAATGGCAGCACCAACTTCCTTATGTTAGACTGAACTCCCCATCACTCTTCCCCTATCTGGCTCCAGCTATCTCATTTTTTTCTAACTGCAAACCCAAACACTTCGTATCAAAAGCTCCCTGTCTGGTTGACGTACATGACTCTGTGTTCCCATCTACTGTAACTTTGAAAGCTTCTGTTTTCCAGGGAATTTTGCCAAAATACCTCCCTTCCTCTGTCAAGCAAATTATAACACAGTTCCTCACCCTTGCTGTATAAATATAGTTCCGTGTTTCAGACATAATTCAGGATTAACATCATTGTTACTGCACGTTACCAGATTTAAATCCTATTAAAATAGTTTAGTGTTTAATTTTGTAATATGACCTGGAATTATCTGCCGAGCGTGCGCGATGACGTCATCGCGCACGCGCGGGGTGACACTCGGTTACCGCTCCGGGTGTCACCCAGCCTCGGGACGCCCCAGCCTGGAATATGAGAGTTTTGGGTTGATTTACTTAAGACAAATGGGCTGTAAGGGAATTTGCACTTTGCAGCGGAAGTTTGCCCTTAGTTGCTTTGGAGTGGTTACCGCTCCGGGTGTCACCCAGCCTCGGGACGCCCCAGCCTGGAATATGAGAGTTTTGGGTTGATTTACTTAAGACAAATGGGCTGTAAGGGAATTTGCACTTAGTTGCTTTGGAACCTCCCAGGTAGTGACACGGAGGTGTTCCCAACTACAGCAGATTTATTGTACCAAAAGCCATTGTAGATACTCCAACTGTTGGCTAATATTTGCATCGCAGCTCAGCATCTACATGCTTTGAGTATACAAATGTAACGTGCATATAAACCCTCACAGGGTTAAGTATGCCACTAAAAGGATATTGATATATCAGTTTGACAAGTGCAAAAATATTTGATTCCGCCAAAAATCCAGTGAACTTAAAAGTTTCTGTGTGGTGTTGGCTCAAGCAGTGCTATCAGCCTTGCCCAGTTTATCTCTGTGAATTACAGAACACTTCTGCCCTTTGTTAGGGAGAGGGGGAGGTGTTTTGTAGTGCTAGCACAGTTCCTGTCCTAGGATGATACCCATGTACAGAAAGCGGGAGGATCACCAAGTGAAGAAAACTGCAGTAAAGAAAACGAATGCAGCCACCACATATAAGGACTAGTATGTGACTTGTAGGACTTAAGCTGGCCATAGATGGCTTGATTTTCTCTTGTTCATTTCACGGGTCAAAAAAAAAGAAAAAATTGATTCGCCCATCCATGCAAAACTGTGTGAATGGAGGAATGTCCACCCCCAGTTATTGTATTTAGGCAGCCGTGGTACCCGTGGTACACACGAACAATGACTGCATGTGACAGGATAGTTACATAGTATTTGAGGTTGAATAAAGACACGTGTCCATTAAGTCCAACCTATTGTGTGTATGCATGTGCTGCTACATGTGTATGAGTATATGTGTGATATTGTTATTAAGTGTACCTATTGTTTTTTGAACAATTCCACACTCAGCTGAAATCACTGCTTGCAGCAGCGAGTTCCACTTCCGCTCTAACCGAGAAGAACCCCCTACGCCCCTTGTGCTGAAAACTTTTCTCCACCAATTTTAGGTGGTTGCCTCTGGTCTTTTTTTCTGAGTTTACCATAATGCAGTCACTTTTCGGCCAATCATTTTCCACTTTTATCCAACGGGGTGGTACAGTGAACCCACTGTTCAAATTCTGGCCCGTTCAGCAGCAATCTGATAACATTTCAGCAAACTATGACCGGCTTTAAAGTGCAGTTTAACTTTAGAGGTCAAATTTGAGACAACACCACTATATGTTTGTGTTCCTATATATTCGGCATACCTATAAATATTACCTTTCAGCTGTTTTGTTGGTGGAGGTCTTTATGCAGATTCCAATCTACTCTGAGCAGTTTTCAAAGTGAGCCTAGAAGGTCAGACTGAGCTTCCTGTCCCTAACATACAACACCTCCAAGCCTTAAACCCTTTGTTAGGATAGACCGTGTACAAATCTAGTTTACAGCTGATAATAAAATCTTCCAGCACAGTACAGACAGGGTTCATTAGAGTAAAAACTATGCACTGCCCCCTCCTCATCAATACATGGGGGTGGGGGGAGCTAGGTAGGATTTTTTTAGTAAGTAAAAAGCACTTACAAATATAAGCAGCACATTTTTTTTTTAAAGTTGTACAATATGAATGGGAACATGTAACAAATAGAAAGTAGAGGTTAACCCAATTTGGCAACAAAAGTGGAACGAGAACAACAGGAAGGTGAGATATGTCTGAGATGGGGCCTTGACATTTTACTATGCAAATATGTTAAAAGCAAACAAATCAGATTCTGTTTTGCACCAAAAAACAATTAAAAGCCTCCCATAGATTATAACTTGTTGCTGAGTGTTTGTGTACCCAATTTATCAAAGTGCTTCAGCTAAAGACTGATGGATCTCTATTGCTCCATAGCAACTGATCAATATCACACTTTCAGACTGCAATTGCTGTTATCTTTTGGAGGTTGGAAGAGATAACACAAGAAGATTACCTGGTTTCCTTGGCTTCAGCTGTATCTGGGGATCCAGGGAGAATGTTTTAAAGTTGAAAGTAGTTTACCAATAAAACAAGATTATTCTACAATTCTGTGTACTTTTGTAGAGAATCTAGTTTTGCTTTAAGTCTGACATTGTAGATTTGATGTCAGAGCTCAGGGGACACCGTATCAATTTCCTGTTTTGATATAACTATCCATTCTCAGGAGTGGTAAAGCCATTGTAATGGCAGGCAGTTGTTAGGGTAGACTTCCAGTGACCTCTGACTCCCGACACTCAAGCTAGAGAGCCAGACACCGTCAGGATGCATAATTCTAAATAAGGGGACAAATAAAACGACAGTATTTCACAAATCAGCATGAACAATTAAAATAATTTAAGACCGTATTCATATCTATATATCCAGTTGGGACTGGTTCTCTTTAACCTGCACCTGTAAACCATGGAGGGCTCTGTACTATTGTTATCTTGCAGTGTATTTTTGAACATTTCTGCTTACTACCGTTTAGCTGTGTCTTCCAGCAAACTAATCTTTTATAGGGATGTATGGTGCTGCAAGTAAAAGAGCCTGTGCACATTAGTCCCTCCTCTAAAACACTGCGTTATAGCATACGGGCTAGTGCAATGTAGCAGTGTGTGTTGTACCTCTCACCACCAGAGCTGCCACAATGCACTATCCTGTCCGCTATGTACAATGTGTACATACCATTCAGTTCCCTGCACGGCAGAACAGCGTGACCTGCACAGCGCATCCCCATTGTTGTGTGCACAAGGCACAAAGATAACAATTGTTTTCTATGCGACCAAGCTGTGAACTGCGTTGTTCTGGTGCAGTAAGCCACAAGTCACCACTGTGTGCGTAAAAGGGAGCTTATATTTATGTTTCATGTGCATTTTAGCGCATGCAGTTCAAAACAGAATAAAGGCAGTACCAGCCTTCTGAAAAGTGTGTAAAGGAAAAAAAATCCGGTATATGAAAACACATAAAA